GAACCTATAAGCAGACAGAGAAGACATCAGTATGTTCTGCCTCAGAGCATGGTAGAAAAAGCTCTACACGGTCTTCACGATCTTGCCGGTCACCAAGGACAGGCTAGAACAGTTCACTTGGCAAGACAGCGCTTCTTCTGGCCCAAGATGGAGCGCGAGATCAGAGAATATGTGAAGTGTTGCAGGCGGTGCATTTTGGCAAAAACACCTGAGCCAGCTGCTCGAGCTCCACTGGAAAGTATTCAAACTTCTGCACCTATGGAGTTAGTCTGTCTTGATTTTTGGAGTGCAGAAGATAACAAACAGCGTTCAGTGGATGTGTTGGTCCTGACGGATCATTTCACTAAGCTTGCACACGCCTTTCCTTGCAGCAATCAGACAGCTAAGCAAGTTGCTCGGAAGATATGGGACCATGTGTTCTGTGTGTATGGGTTTCCTGAGCGGATCCATACGGATCAAGGAACAAATTTTGAGAGTGAGCTCATTGCTGAACTGCTAGCACTTTCTGGGGTCTCCAAATCTCGTACAACTGCCTATCATCCTATGGGAAATGGCATCACAGAGCGGTTCAACCGAACATTGGGAAGTATGCTTCGCTCCTTGCCTCTGAGATCTAAGGATAAGTGGCCACAACAAATCCAGACTCTGACCTTCGCTTACAACGCAACAATACACGAGACAACGGGTTACGCACCTTTCCAACTCATGTTTGGACGTGTCCCACGATTACCTGTTGACATAATGTTCAAGCAAGTATCGAAGGATCCAGTGATTGTTGATTATAGCAGCTATGTCGCCACTTTAATGTCCCATCTTCACGAAGCAGCTGAAATTGCTCAAAAACATGCTGTACAAGAACAGAGGAAACAGACCAAGATGTATAACCGCAAGATCAAGGGAGTACATTTGAACAATGGAGATAGAGTGCTCATTGCCAATAAAGGAGAAAGAGGAAAAAGGAAGTTGGCAGATAGATGGGAACCTACTGTGTACACCATTGTGGATAATGATCCCCAGACACACATATACAAAGTGAAGGATGACAAAGGACATATTAAAGTCGTACATCGGAACATGCTCTTAGACATCAGTTTCTTACCTGTGACATGTCCTGAGGATGAAAGATGTGGATCAACGGTTGCCGATTGCTCGGACAGTTCCGAGTGGGAGAGCCAATCAACAGATTCCGCTGATTCCTTGGAAGATGAAGATCCTGAAAAGAAAACACATTCATTAGTAATGAATGAGGATGTTTCAAAGAGTTCAGAAACTCTTGATGTACAAATGGAACTGGATGCAGAGGAAAGTGATGACACTTACTGTGTTAATCCTGGTCAAGACAGCCAAAACCAGGTGCTCCCTGAAAAAACGTTGAGCACGGAAACTTCTGATCGTGACAATCTATTGGCAACATCTGACTTTACTAATTCAGATATCGTTGACTCCGATTCACCGGTACGTGATGTGTCAATGCCAGGTCCTGAACAAGCGCAAGGCACAATTACAACACGGGCTGGTAGAGTAGTAAAAAAAAGTCAACCGTCTGATTGAGACCATGGCTCAAAAGCCATTTAAAATGCCAAGCTTGTCAGATAGGTTCCAGAAAAAGTCACAGTCCCTTTTAAGCCTATTCTAATATTCATGATTGGGTAGGAAGTTTATTTTCGATTTTATTTTCTGATATATATTTTTCATTGCCATATAAGAATAATGTGAATGAGGATTCGTTGCAAAGTTTACGTGTGGTATGGTGTATTTGGCAACATACTTTACTAAGAGGTTTTGAGGCCTGATCACCCTCAAATTTCTCTGTATCTGTCAAGACAGATAGCTTTTATTGCTGTAACTGTGGAATTTTTGCATTGTGATTCTTTAGGAAATCCTCTTTATGCGCATATAGAATTTTGGTGAAATTAGGGGAGGTGAATGTAACGGGTGTAAAATATTTATTTAATAATTTCACTCAAAATCTCCCTTTCTTATTATCATTTGTTATATTTCTTTCATTATTTTGTATTTTGGAATTTCATTTATTCTTCTAATATTGATTTCTATTTAATTGAGATGTCATATTTCTATGGTTACATGGTCATTTTGTAGTATTGTTAAATGCGGTGCGTGGCTCCTTTAAGACTCATGTTCCGGTTCCGGTTGCTCTCTTTCAGTTCGCGGTAAATGCGACTGAAGAGAGGTGGGTTGTACTGACGCTCCGTCTAAAAAGTTTGATATGAGTTTTGTTTATTGTAATACAACATGTAATTTTGTTCTAAAATGCACTTTAATCTTATTCAAACATGTATGGAGTTTGTGTTAATAACGTGATGAGTCATAACATGTATTTTCGGGGAGAATTCATTAAGCATGAGTGTGCAAGCTCTGTTGGCTAAAATAATGCCTTTCACTAACAGGCTGAATCGCGAGAGAAGGCCACAGACTCGCTTTTGATGTGATATTTCTTTTTATTCATGCAGGTATGTTCTCTTTCATGTTTATGTTAATATTGTTTTGAATTTATGTAAAATGCTTTTATTTTTTTGTGAAATCTTTTGAACCAACAAGATTTGATTATATGAGAAACTGAAATGCATGTTTATAAAAGTGTAAAATGTCCTGCAGTTCGCGGTAAATGCGACTGAAGAGAGGCTGAATCGCGAGAGAAGGCCACAGACTCGCTTTTGATGTGATATTTCTTTTTATTCATGCAGAATAAAATCTGTCTGGAGTACTTTCTGTTGCCCGGTCTCGTTCATCCACAAACACAACGCAGAGCTAAACGAAGACCGGTCACACCCACCCCAGTTCAGTTGAGTTGCCCTCCCTCTTCAGAACTCCAGAGCGACAAAGAGAACAGACCCCGCGGGGCGGAGAAATAAACCTTCTCTTTTCTTCATCGTATTCTTGGACTCGCATTTTTTCACTGTGCGTTCAGCCCTGTTGGAAGGAGAAGGACTTTGAGGGGCAAAATGTTGACAGCATATGCATTAGCTCACTGGATAACATGCCAGTAAAGATGGAAAATATAGGAACGCATTCATTTAAACTTGTCTATAGATGCAATTGCAGTTTGGCAGTAAAAGGATATTTAATTATATTTACCCTGAGTTGATTTTCGTGATCACTTTCATTCAGACTTAACGTTTTCTGAACGTATAGCCTACTGTAGGCTACACATCTTTGTTTGCTCTGCCATCTGCTGGACAGAATCTCAACTAGTGGGCTGAATTTGGACTGTATGATAATGTTATCATTATAAACTTCTTAGGCTATATACTACCCAGAATCAAACCTCAATGCAAGATACTTTTTTGTCCATAAAAATAACCCAGATCTGGTGCTTGAACTTGGCTACTTAATGCATATCAAAAAACGCTCAATGGGCCCATTAAAATAATTCAATTTAAATCTCGTATTTACCTCTGTCTCAACAAACACAAAGAAACGCATGTTTTTTAACGTATTACAATTCTTTCAAATAAAATTAATAACATGGCATTATGAGAAATGTGTTATGATATTAAAATAAAGGCATTACATGCGCATATTGCGAAGGGATTGAGTGAAGAAATATTGGGTGTTAGAATATTTTTTTATATATTTTATTTTAGTTATTATATATATATATATATATATAATGTATATATATATATATATATATATATATTCTTTTTTTTTTAATTGATGGAGGCCTACAGCACTTTGGGCAACCTTGTTTGTATTGAAATGTCCTTTTAAATAAAAGAAAGAAGAAGAAGAAGAATAAGAATATTAGTAGGCTATAGTAATATATTAACATGGCCATAATATTAAAAAGCAATTTCACTTAAACTCATTTTAAATCGCTGCTACCATTATGTTAACCTGTGTGTACCTACATGTGACAAAGAGATCATTTTTATTATTATTATTATTTAGCTAATCTTAGCATTGTTTTTCCACACCAACCAAAACATTTGATGCATGTAATTTTGCAATGATTGGATAGTGATTTTTATTCAGGTAATCAGTCCATATAAAATCCATTCATCTCGCTATTACATTTATTGCCTTATTCTGCATGCTTTTGGTCAACGCACGTAGATAGGAAGCTGCCTTAAACTATTACACTCACATCGTTTATGTGCACAAAAGGCACAATAAAAGCGATTAATATGCCCCATCCTAGAGCTGCACTGCATCTCTGCCGGGACTCGAACCCGGAGCCTCTGGATTAGAAGTCCAGCGCGCTATTCCATTGCGCCACAGAGACCGAGCCAATAAAAGTCGATCAGACCCGCTTTAGAGACACACTGAACAGCGAATGCCTTCATCAGCATCCAGCAGCATCAGGACCACTGCCGCCATTTTGGTTCTCCACGGACGGCCAGTAGAGGGCGCTCTAGCGCAACTAAACTGCGGCTCTGAGCCAACATGGCGGACTTTATGTATCTAAAAAAAAAAACATTTACTTTTTAAGACTTTAAATTCAAATATACACATTTATCACGGTTACCATTTTCTCCACAAAATAGTACTTACTATTTATGAAAAATATACACGTGTATAATGTATTTTTCTTTCTTTTTAGTCCTTTACTTGACAACAAACTTTTTTTTTTTGCCTTAGTCAAATAATGTTTTTTTTAAAGATGTGTCCAACTCTAAACAGGATACCCATGCAAACAATTAATCACACCATGTTCCCTCAAACTTGACATGAGACAGATGTGAAAAAAGGAAAATGATAAAATATAAACGTATTTATTTATTTTGAATATCTGAATGTTTATGTCTTTCTATATCCGTTATTTTGTCTATATCCCTATTGTTTAGTCACCAGACAAAGTTGTCAACATACAGTATATACACATTAGAGTCAGAAGCAATTTGTTTTCTGTATACAGTAAACCACATTTTAAAATACATGAAACAATTCACAGTGTATAGAACATGACATTTCTTTATATACATATATATACATACACACACACACACACATATATATATATATTAAAGTTATTATAAAAATAATATATATAACATTCTTTTTGTAGCATTATGTTTAGAGATTGTAAACCGCGCAAAAACACCCACGAGCCCATAAATGCAGCTATAAAAACAAGCATGGAAAAGTTCGGAAAAGGTGTGCAAAAAGTTTTCTCGTTCCATGAATATTTTTGGAGTGTATTTCTATCGAGCTATATTAATGGTGTTGACACTTATGTCATCCGCTGGCCTCTGGATACACCGCTGGCTCCACATACAAGGTAATCAGATCCAACCATCCTGTCACAGTAAAGTCAGTTGATTGCTTCTCTTATCTTCACAATACATTCATCGATAACACATCACTGTTGTCTTAGGAAGAGCAGTTTACTGGCAACCATAGCAAAATGCGTAATAAGCGAGGTCGAAGTCCATTCAAAACAAGGGAAGTGGAGCCTGGATTCATCATTCATTAACAGATAAAACAGACAGCAGGAGTTTGGTCTTCCTTGCATAGACATTGTCCAGTCAGTGTAAGTTTCGAGTGCACCCTGAGTCCATCCTGATTTACTGGATATTCACAGTCATCAGAAATGGTTATTTCGGCTTGTGTGGCACATTGTTCGTGGATGGTGTGTCAGGTTCAAGTCTTATCCTGCTTTCTATGATTTCATCAGTGGGGACATACAGTCTGACAGCTGCAGGACTCTGGTGGTGGAAGAGATTGAATCCAGAATATTAATATAATCATAATATTTTGGTAGCACCTAATCTTACAGTCCTGCTAGCCCTAAACCTAACCTTAACCCATGTAGTGACCTTATATCACCCAGTATTTTCTTTCATAAGTACACTGAAAGTACACATACGTGCATGTAATGTAAAATAAATGCAACCAATATTTTTTTTTTTACAGGCGAATGTGTAAATCTGAGAGAAACGAATGAAAACTTGCAGCACAATTTACCCGTAGATCCTCTGTGGTTCTGATGTTGTTGCTGAGCATGTCCTTAAAGAGGAGCGTTGGCTCTGGGATTTTTGGGAATATGATGTCTTTATGTCTGAAGTAAGAGAAACAAGTTCGGATTTCAGTTCATTCCAGGCCTCAGTAATCAATACTCAGTCATTCAGTTCTTAAAACATGATAATATGCAATAATATTGTTTCATATTTGATATTTTCAAATCAAAGAGCAGAACAATGAAAATCATATTCATCACCTTCTGAGCAGCACAAGAGAGACTATCAGGCAACAGGAAACTATGAGCGGGATTATAATGACAGCCAGCAACACAGGCAGGTTCGGGTCACTGTTCTCCCCTACGAGAGCACAGAGAAAAACTTTCATTTGCAGGATGTGAAGCAATTGACCCTACACACACTACCGTTCAAAGGTTTGGGGTCAGTATGAGCTTTCCACAGAAATATGAAACAACACACCAGTGAAGTATGTACGAAAAGTATGATTTCTGAACGATCATGTGACACTGAAGACTGGAGGAATGATGCTCAAAATTCAGCTTTCTGGTTTTCTGAAGATACAGGTATTTTAAATTATAATAACATTTCACTGTATTTTTGATTAAATACAGTACATGCAGCCTTGGTGAGCAGAAGAGACTACTTTCAAAAACATTCAATTAATTTTGCAGACCCCAAACGGAACAGTAGAGTATTCATTATTCATGTAAATAAAGTGGACTTTTAAAGGGTTAGTTCACCCAAAAATGAAAATGCTGTCAGTAATTACTCTCCCTCATGTTGTTCAACCCCGTAAGACTTTCGTTCATCTTCGGAACACATATTAAGATATTTTTGATTAAATCTGAGAGCTGGATCACTCCTCCATAGGCTTCTTAAGGGATCGAAACTGGCCGGGCCAAAAGTTATGAAAGACATCGTTAAAATAGTCCGAGTGACTACAGTGGCTCAATCTTAAGTTTATCAAGCGACGAGAATACTTTTTGTGAGCAAAAAACAAACAAAAATAACGACTTTATTCAACTAATCATTTCCTTCTCTGTTCGGCCGTGATATTTCACGTAGTGAAACTGCGCAAAGCTTCTTGGTTGTACGTCACGCATCACACACATGACCAGCGTCGGCCAATAGTGAGCCTACGTGTGACGTGCAACCAAGAAGCTTTGCGCAATATCACTACGTGAAATATCACGGCCGTACAGAGAAGGAAATGATTAGTTGAATAAAGTCGTTATTTTTGTTTGTTTTTTTGCGCACAAAAAGTATTCTCGTCGCTTGATAAACTTAAGATTGAGCCACTGTAGTCACTCAGACTATTTTAACGATGTCTTTCATAACTTTTGGGCCGGCCAGTTTCGATCCCTGAAGAAGCCAACGGAGGAGTGATCCAGCTCTCAGATTTAATCAAAAATATCTTAATTTGTGTTCCGAAGATGAACGAAAGTCTTACGGGGTTGGAACAACATGAGGGTGAGTAATTACTGACAGCATTTTCATTTTTGGGTGAACTAACCCTTTAATATAAAAACGCGAAAGCCTAAATTAAATCTGTCCATCATAAAGCGATCGAGTCTCTTCTTTATTTGTGTTCCGAAGATAAACTAAAGTCTTACGGGTTTGGAACGACATGACAAAACGTTATATAATAAATGACAGAATTTTCCTTTTTTGGGTGAACTATCCCTTTGAAACTGACAATCTAAAGAAAGAGTGATGATCATTGTTGATTATGATATTTGGTCCAGACGTACCATATTCCACCTCGTCACTCGGATCACTCTCCCCTGATCCACAATCGTTTGAGAAGAGGACCTGCACACTGGCCTTGTACCTGCAGGCGGCGTCATAATCCACTTGATTATTCATTTTGCCGATTTGCCAGTTTACGATTTTCTCTTTCTGTAAACACAATAGAAATATATTGGATCAAAAAATATTTTGTTTAACATGACATTATGTGCTCCACAATAATAGCTCTGCTGAAATAATGCTTGAAATGTGACTCGGCATGTACTGCATTGTTTAAATAAACACTTTCATTTTCCATTTCTGCTATAGTCTTAAGCATCAGAAGAGTTTTTGTATTGAAAGTTGTAGTGAGAATGGAGAGAATCTGATCCTGTATTATTAAACATGAAAGTACAGAAAAGGGTTTACCTTATTGCACTTGCTGTATGTGTACTCGTAAATGTAGCAGATTTGATCAAACTCTTTTGAATCTGATTCATATGTTTCAAATTGGAGGTACTGCCCTTCTCTACGGATTTTCAGCTGAGGTTTGTTTGGTTTCACTGCAAAATAAGCCAAAAAAAGAACAAGAGACTATTCATTAGTGTATGTGTATGTTTCTTTAAGCAAACAGAGAAGCAACTGGCATTAGAAAAACTGGAAAACGTAGCTCATATTCTCGAATGCAGTTATTGCAGATTAAAATAAAGGTTGGACTCAATGTAGCACCACACATCAACGTGATCAATGTTAAAAATAGTTTGCTGTTGTGAAAATGACAACTCTCGATATTCATAGTTTTCAGTCATGTGACTGGCTCGAAGATCATCTGGAGGGCAAAACATCCATAAAACTGCAGCATAAACCCAAATATTTAGATCACCTCTCAAAAGAAGAAAAACTAAAATATGTGAACAACAGTTTTGGGAACTTCTTGTGATCCATTTGGACATTGTGAAACACTTCATGTGAAAAACACTTAAAGTGCCTTAATGTACTAAAACAGTGATATTAAAAGACCACTTATTGATGATGCATATATATAGGTGAGCAGAGAGAATATGCACGCAATACACTAAACGCATGAGTGTTTTCTTTATAATAATTATCTTAGGAAAACATATTCTGGGTTCATCTGCTTGCCAGTGCATAGAATGCATCATCAATAAAGCGCATCTTGAATTTAGTCTTTTAATATCACTTAGAACTTATAAAAAAAGATCTTGCAGGCAATGGAGGAAAGCCTTGTTTTGCCCTCCAGGTGGGCGTTCCTATGTGAGTGTGACGTCAGGTGAAAACCATGAATAACGTGCCATAATTGAGTAGCCAATTCTGTGAAAAGGTGCATCTTTACCGCATTGTGTTGGATATTTCCCCTCGATTGTGTTGTTTACAGGAATACCATTGTGAGTCCCATTGAACAGATAGTATATTTCCATAATTTCCTTGAGTTTCTCATTGTGTATGACACATTCTCCAGTCTTCATCGTCTCATCAGGTACACACTTTATTATTGACTCATTCACAGGTGACCTGAAACACACAAGTTTACAACCGATTCATGGATGCAAGGAACTTAAATGAGAAGTAAAAAAACAATGGTAAGACAACCAGAAAATTGCATACCAGTAATAAAAACTGAGGTCTTGGACAACATCAGTAGGTTTCCAAATGAACTTCATCCTGTTGTGGGAATATTCGCAGTTGTGTTCGGTCACCAGCCTCACTGAAATAAATGTGCACATCTCAACATTAGATTGCAAAAGGGAAACATTTGGAATATGAATTTCATCCGTGGATTATGGAAGAGGTGAATCTTAATGGTTGAGTTATCTATCACCCAAAAGCCAGTATTAGTTTTCCTACACTGTTTATAGGCTTGCAGCCTCCATGTTACAGTTACTAAGTGCCTAATGCTGTGAGATTTTATGGTAGTTTTATCTTAAAAATAAAATAACCTGAACCCGATTGATCAAGGCATGCGACTGTTCTGACTTGTCGATTTTCAGCATAAATTTGTCATCTTGCATCAAAATCCTGTCTATTCATTGTATGCATTTGAAGTTGGGTTTTAATGTACCCAAGTATACCTAAAATAAAAAGAGTTTAATATACAGGTTTCTGGCTCTTAATTTCTTTTTATTAATTAACCACTTGTAAACTTGTGTTCTCCGTTCTTTTTTATAAATATAGGATTATATTCTATATTCATTGAGTCGAATCAGGAATCGAAATCGAATTTAGAATTGAAATCGGATCGAGAATCGAAATCGAATCGAATTGGAACATCTGAATCGATACCCATGTATTACAGATGCCATTATTCCTAAAAACCAGAAGAACTAACGATAAAAGTCAAATGTGCTGCTATTCACCTGATATTCAGCCTATTTGTGGTCGACCAATATATGGGGATTTTTTACGGCGCAAAATTGCCAAAATACAGTCTATGTCACATCACACAATTTAATTTAAAGATAGTTAATAGCACACGCTACAGCAATAATGCACTGGCTGTGTGCACTTGAAATTCCATTTTCTCACTATTTTCATCCAGTTTAGAGTAAATATAACTTATATTAGACTTAAAGGGATAGTTAACCCAAATTTTTTAATTCTGTCATAATTTATTCACCGTCATGTCACTCCAAACCTGTAAGATATTAGATTCGTCATCTTCGGAACACAAATTAATTTTTTTTAAATGGAATTTTAGAGCTTTCTGTTGACAGCCTACGCAACTACCACTTTCAAGCCCCGGAAAGGCAGGAAAGGACTTTGCTTTTCATTCATTTCCAATCTGTATCCATTAATTCCATAACGCATAATAAAATAAACATAGGCCTACTATACACACTATACTGTACATTCCAAAATAGGATACCATAAATACTGTAAGATAAACATGAACTAATTGAACTACTTCAACCACAAGACTGAATCAACTAATAAACATACTGCTCATGATCATAATTGAGTCCACTGCTAATGAATCAATATTGAATGATTAAAAAGGACATAGAGGTGTTTTCCATCAGAGAGTTGGCTATGGTGGCGGCGAGTACCTGGAGGTGGAGGTAAGATAATGTGCACCGGTTGACTTTGGCCTCGGTCTCCACAGTTTTCAGCGTTTGTCGAAACACTGATACACAGTCCATTCTCATTGGAGACATTCACTTTATGGCCCAGTTGTGAGACTTTCCAGGTCTTGGAACTATCTAGGTCTTTCTTGGAACAGTCCTGTTGGTGAAAGTGGATTTTAGCGTTAATTACTGACGTAAAATACAGCATGTTTGTACTTGTGTCCCTTTTGTGTTGCTGTGTTTGTGCATTACTCCATACTATTAAGAGTCACTTGTTTCACATGAAAGCATTTATTCATTTCCCAACAGTAAAATAAATTCCTTTATAAACACTTAAAAGAAATGTCCTCTTTACTAGGCACATTGTAAAGTGTGTAAACAACACATAAGATGGTTATATAAAATGTGTGAAATATATTTCAGGAACTTTTTGTGTTTAAATTCAATTGCATGTTGAACAAGCAGTGCCTGCAGGGCCTGCAGCTCCAACTACACAAGAGCATAACCAAGAGTATTACATCATGTAGTTAGACAAACTACACGACTTCATTTGCATTTTCTAATGGTATGACTTACATCAATGTGAAAATAATTGTAATAACTTGATTTTTCTAATTAAATGTATAGCCTTTGTCAAGCTTTACAGTGCCATACTCTTTACTAACCTGACTGGCTCTCCAGAAGGAAGTGAATTTTCAGAAGGATGTTTAACTCTGAAACTTCCTACCATAAATCAAAACCGGATAAGCTTTTTCATTTTATTTTGGCTGATCTCTATTCTTGACTTGTGCACAAACTGCATTGCTGTCATTTCTCAAAATGTAATTTATGTGTAAATATTATGAAACTGGATGTTAACCCGAGGCAAGGGACAAATTTCGAAGACGGATGCAAAGAAGAGAACATACAGAGAAAATACTGAATAAGGCACAACAAGCTCACTGTTTGCGATGATGCCCGAAACAAAATTTATACTGAGTTGGGGGTGGGAGTTTATATGAATGTATCTCGAAAGGGAACGGACTGTCTTTAGAAAAGTTTCAAAGGCATTTTCTTTTCACCTCCCGTATAGACTCAGCCAAAGACTGATGTCAACTGTTTTCTTTTTACCCGTGACAACAACTTAAAAGTAGCCCAATTCTGCTGGGAATCCGCAGACTTGGCAACATTGGCTTAAGGCACACAAAATGGGAAGCACTTTTCAACCATTTTGATCAACCAACCAAATGGGAACCAATTTGGTTGGTTGATTCAACCAATCAAATGATGATGACAAGTCGTCATTTGGTTGGTTGAATTCTATAGGATTTCCAGGAGACGTGTGGCCGTCTTAAAGCCAAACCCCCTCATGGAAGAAGAAAGCCGTCGTGTTTACAACTGTGACAATGAGCGCGTATCAGGATCAACTAAAGGCTGGATTTAAAAAGTATGTGAACTTTGTTTGGATTGTGATTAAATGTAGTGGTTGCCTCTAATTTCTAATGGCTACAGATATTTTTGTTTAAGGTCAGTTTGACCTGTAAAACAGCTAATAAACGACAAATAAATGTGCTTAAACACTGGTAACCGGTATCGGACAATTTGCTTGCAAAAACAAAATCGGAATCGGAAAATGAAAAATGATGATCAATGTTTCTGTAACGGAGACAAGCTAGTAAGAGCCGACTGATGCTAGAGACTGCAGTCTTTAATGCTCTTGTTAGCGTGCCCGTCTCCCATGCTGGAGCAGGACTGGTTACAGGAGGGTGTGTGTAACAGAGCAATTTACTAAGAGCTGTGCATGTAAACCTCACTCCCCTGGCGTCAAGAGGTGTGCTAGAGACTGCGGTCTCCCATGCCGGAGACAACAGTTCGAATCCCGCTCGGAGCGAGTCGAGTAAGACCGGTTGCATCAATACAAACTAGATCAACCCACACCATTATCTGACATCTGGTGAAAGCTTGGTGCTAGCTGTAACCTTGCATTTGTTTACAATTGCTCCAACATGTACACATTTCTATTAGTTAACATTTTCTTTGTGTGAAAATCATCCCAAGAAAGGAAGTACTAAGGGTAAGTTGCTCACTGAGGGTTTTATCTGGCATGCTACCGCCACCACAGAACACAATGACAGGCGTGGGGTTCTTATGAAATTAGTTATTTTAGTACTTGGCAGAATTGACTATACTGTAGATTAAGAAGGTCTTTATGTCCATTACATTTCCTGTACCACAACAATCGACAGGGACCACAAGAGGAAATTAAAGGGCTTTAAGGCAAAGGGTTGCGAGGGTTAGGCCTACAGGGTAAATGAAAAATGAAACTTAACATGTAGTATACGGGGAAATGACAAACACAATGTGGACTTTGAATGTAGATTAGATCTGATCTGATTTAGTTTTATTGACTTAAATTCCAGTTCAGCGTTTGTTCTGTGCCTCTTGTTTAATTGCGTGAAAAACTGTCCTGTGTGTCAGGATCACATGTGCTAATCCGATCTATCCTGTTTTGACTCAAGAATACTCATAAAACTGAGTGAAATGTGTGACAACGAAGCCATTTTCTTCATTGCTAACTGTTACTGTTTACCATTAAACCCTAATCCCAACCCTTCACTTAATTATAAGCTTATCTCTAAAATCAAGTCTTGACCCCAGGCCTGGAGTGGCCATCAGGAGAATCGGGAGAATTCCCGGTGGGCCGCTCATAAATTTGGGCAGGTAGTACCACCTCAACAAAGGCAGTTTCACACGGGACACGGAAAGAGGCACACAGCGGCAAATCGCGTACTCTGAGAGAAAAATGTTATCCGCATAGTCCTACCATGTACAGAACAGATAATAGTTGCAAAATAAAAGTTTAGATGCTAGGTTTATATATGTTTATTTTTGTTTGTTGTTTTGTTCCCCTGTCAAAACAACACAGTCTCATCCCAAGGCGTCATCTAACTGACGCTTCTGACCATGCGTCAACATGCCGACGCACACACCACCCCCCAAACGTCAACATGAGACGCTCATCCTCGGGCGTCATCAAATGCCGCGCACCCTTTAGCGTCAGTTAGATGACGCTTCCGTTATGGGTAGGTTTAGGTCTGGGGTAGGGGTAGGATTAGACCACTAGGAGGCGTCTCCTATTGACGCTCAAGGGGTACCCTGTGCGTCGGCATATTGACGCATGGCCAAACATGGTCTAAAGCGTCAGTTAGTTGAGGCCTTGGGTGTGAGACTGGGCTGGTCAAAATAATGAAAAACATTTTAAATTATCCGTCTGTTTTTAAAAGTATAAATAAGTGAACATTTTTTTGAGGCAATCAATCCTCCCTTACAAATAAAGAAGTCATCAAAACAATATCAAGGTTTTTATATAGCTGTGTAACATGACATTTTTATAGATGAGCATAGTCTAAGCCATATCAGTGTCTGATATTCATTTTAATTTATTTCGCTTTTTAATTTGTATGTGCAGTATTTTTCATCTGTGTCTATTAATAAGTTTGATTCTATGTGTTGCTTAAAAAGGTTAAGCTATTGGTTATTTTTTTTAAACTTGAAAAAAAAGAAAAGAAAAAAAAAGGTGTGTGTCTTGGCCATTAAAATCCCGGGATGAAAACGGGTCCCACCCGGCCCTGTTTGACCCTTAAACAGGCCTTCAAGGAGTCTCAGAAAGTGAGGACTGGCCAAAATGTCCTCGCTTCGATGGTCTAAAACTCAAACTGTTGTGTTTTCATGTTTTATAGGGACTTACCATAGACATTATGATTTTTATACTGTACTAACTGTATATTCTCTCCCCTGAACACCAAACCTACCCATCACATAAATATCTCTGCATTTTTAGATTTTCAAAAAAGAAATCAGTTAGTATGAATTATAAGCTGTTTTCCTCATGAGCACCATAAAATGTCATAAAAAACTCTTAAATCTTTAAATTAACTGATATACTTTCTCCAACAATAAAAAAATAAATGATGATAATAACAAAATAAAATAGAAAAAAATATCAATTTAATTGAATTTAATTTGATTGATTTTTTTTTTAAATATTATTGATCACTTAAACCGAAAAAGCTCTGACCACATAGCGATATATATAAAAAGTAGGCTACTGTATAATTTTACATAAATAGTTCACAGAGTTTCTATCGCGACTGTAGGCTATCTACCGAGGGGAAAGTCGTCTTTCAAGAGGTGTCTCACCTGCGATTTATACACCTGTACAGTGTAGTTCACTTTACAGTAAGGATCCAAATCCTCCGGCTCTTCCCATGTCAAACTAAGCCTGAAAGGTGTTTCCCATATGAAGTTCAGATTCTTCGGAGGAGGGAGATCTAAGATTTTAAGCAAAGAGGAACAATAGAAGGGGAAAAAGAGAGAAATATAAAATAAGAATAACAAATGAACAAACTACAACTCAAAGTATGCAAGTTCAGACGAGAATGTCTCTGACGTCACGGTTTCGGGAATTATACAGGATATCCCGCACGCGCTGTCATAGGAAAACTTAAGGGGGAAAGCGTTCCAAACACACACACACACTCACACACACAACAGCAGTAAACCCACCTGTGTTCTCAGACCCGACGAACATGACTGAGACAGAGAAGCATATCATCAGGGATATATTCCAAAATAGATACATCGTGTTGGCTGTTTGAGTAAAAATTGTAAAATCCAATGTGAAATCACGTAATCCCGTTTTGATATGTGCCAAACGCAATTTTTTTTACTGTAGGCTACTTGTGGTCGTAATCGTGCTCGACATAATACCCTAATTCAACAACAGTAAAGTAAAGTAAAGTAAAGTCACGTCCGCCAGCCTCTGGCTCGAAACAGAAGTGAGACTGGAGGTTCTTGGACTGACACTGTATGTCAGACTGAAGTGGGTGGAGTGTGTGTGTGTGTGTGACTCACTTCAGGACTTCAGGAATCACGTACACACTACTTCAGAGGTATGTTGCCTTGTTTATACGGATTTATCTGCTTCACGTCGAGTTAAATTATGAATAGCGTCCCTGTCGAACTATCAGAAAATGATACAATTACAGAATCGGTTTGTTCACACCAAAGCGCTCTCTCTCTCTCTCTCTCTCTCTCTCTCTCTCTCTCTCTCTCTCTCTCTCTCTCTCTCTCTCTCTCTCTCTCTCTCTCTCTCTAACACAAACAAATGTGCAAACAAACGCACGTTGTGTTTACATGTATGGGGACTTTGCATAGACAAAATTATTTTTATACTGTACAAACTGTATATTCTATTCTTTCCCCCATTTTTGCATTTTCAAAAAACATTAGGCCTACTTATGATTTATAAGCTATTTTCCTCATGGGGACCAAAAATATTCCCCACAAGGGTAATATCCCGGAGATTGTCATCTTTGTGGGAACATTTTGTCCCCATAATGTAGTTTTTGCCAGGACACACAGACAGACAGAAGACACGGTGACGAGGCTTCCAGTGCAACGGGATCAAATAAATAAATAAATAGAGATGAGTAGGCTAAATTTGGTTTGTGTTTACAGTATAACAGTCTACCCAGTAGGCTACCCACATATGACTAAATAAATACATGCAAATATAAATAAATGTAAATAATAGTAACTTTCAGGGTAAGGCAAGGAGTTAATTTTTTTTAACGAACTTTCTCAATAATTGATTTTTGTTGATTTTAACCAAAAAATTATCTGAACTCCAGCTTTAAATCAATCAAAAAATAAAGGTCAGAAAGGGATCTTAAATAGTCAACACTGCTGAGCTTTCGATTGCACTGACACTTCCCGTTAGAATGAAAGAAAAAGAATCCTGATAGAAAGTTTAAAATCGTAAAGAAATTTAGCTTGAAATGGAGTAAATGAAGGAATTGGTTAATACCATTTAAAGTTGCCATTGTTCTTTGTACATTTCTGAAACTGTAAACTCTGCATCGACGCGAGGTTATTCATGTTTAAACCACAACATAAAAGTAACTTATTAACGCTTTAATTTTCAACCATTCATTAAAAATCATTGACAAACATAACAGTTTTCATGACAAGAACTCGTTGTCATCATATGCAATTTCTCCAACTGTACACAACATTTGTAGGCCAATAGCAATTTTCGGTAACGCTTTAGATTACAGCCCGGAAAGTACTGTTACAGTGTAACTTTTGGTAATTATAGTGTATGATGTACTTACATGTAAGTATAAGGGAACAATATGTAAAGTTTGGCGAATAAAGGGGTAACAACCAGGAGAATTAAAACATGATTTATACTGTAAGTATTATATAACTAAGGGGTAATTATTCTACTATTATGATATAACAATCTTATATGGGAGCAATTTAGCAAGAACATACTCTGCATACCTTTTTGTAATAATGGTGTACCAATACATATTGTATTGGCTTTTAAAAAATTACAGAGTAGCCTACATATCTATGCATTTAAACGGTTGTGATGCTTGTTACCCTCTTGTTCCATGTTACAGAGTAAGTACAATAAAAATACATACACCCAATCTAATATCACTGACTCAGAAACCTTTATTTGAAAAACAACGTATTACAGTTAGTCTAAAGAGATAGTCTACAGTTTAAAAAGTTTAAAATATTGTAATTTGTCTTACAAACACTTACCGTTTCCCTTCAGAAGACATTGATCCATCCATTGGGGTCGTATGGATTACACGATTGATGCTCCACCTTCATGAGCTTGCATTATTAGTGTTCTGAATTAAGTTGTTTTTCAAATAAAGGTTTCCGAAACAATGACATAAGATTGTGTATTTATTTTGATTGTACTAACAAGGGGGTAACAAGCACCACTAATGAAACAAGGGTTTCTTTCCCCAATATTTAAGCAAAAGTTGCTAAGTTTTAGTTTTCAGTGCACTTTTGTTAAAAAGATTACTGTATAAATGCATAGATATGTACTCTGAAATTTTTAAAAAGCATACAGTATGTATTGGTACACCATTATTACAAAAAGATTGTATGTTCTTGCTAAATTGCTCCCAAATGTAAGATTGCTATATCATAGTAGAATAATTACCCCTTAGTTATATAACAGTATAAATCTTTTTTTTTTTTTACTTACATGTAAGTACTTTATAGGCCTACACTATAATTACCGAAGGTTACACTGTAAAATCGCTTTAATTACGCAGTATTTTCCAGGCTGTGATCTAAAGCGTTACCCAATTTTCTTGTACAAATCATTGCGCAAGACATAACTGTCATTTTGACTTTGATTTAGACATAGATAGTTGTATGGTATATGACTGTGACAGGCATTAGTCATGACAGTTAACCGTTGAAGCTGATATTTTATGTACACACGTGACGTCAGATATGATAGTATCGCCTCCAGTGTCTCTCTCAGAAAGCAGGCATCAAAATGAATTGTGTTAAATGCCATCTTGGACATAAATTATATGGAAATGGATTTAAAAGATGTGTATATATGTTTCATATTTCCAATGCAAAGGTATCATATTCTCTTTGGAATTAAAGAACAAATGGGGTCTGAAACCTGTTTTACTGACAAGGGTCACAGATTTGATCAAACATGTTTTTTTTTTGTCGTTACCCACAGTATGTGTGTGTGTGTAAATAAAGCAGCACAGTTATGGGAAAACAGCTCAAAATAAACACACCAAAGAATTTTTTTTTTTTTGTGGAAATATTTAGTTTATCTTATGAACTACAGACCAGAAAAAAAACATTCATACATTATATGCTGATATTACTTGAAGGAAATAATGAACCTGATCTTCGGGAATGGCAGCTTGTTTAATGGCACGCTATCTTCTTTCTAGAAAATTCATTGTCCATTGTTGATCAGAAGATGACTTTATTACTAAACTAGTAATTGCAGACATTTAAAAGATGAAAACTGCAAGCAAATACTATGTCAATACTGTAGATGTTTCCATTCTCTCTCTCTCTCTCTCTCACACACACACACTTCCTAAATAAATCTACATATCCTCTGTTTGCAATTTGCATATTCAGTGCAGAAAGCATTTTTTTGTGAATAAATTAGCCATGGATAGGTTGTAAATCATATCTGGATATCAATATCTATGCTGTTACATTCTGCATTATATCATTCCTGCCCATAAAGTCAGTTGTTCTCTACCATCTGGGGTAGGCATTCATTTGAAAAAGCTTTGCATATATATTTATCTTATATGGTTTTAACTTCAGGTGGCTGCTATTTGATTTACTGATGGAAATGATGCACATCAATGCTCTTAGTTGAGGCTTACAAACTTGTAGCCAGTCAGGAACCACTGTGTTGATGTCTACTACTGAAAATAGGGAAGAGGGACGATATGATACCACATCCAGTTGGCAACACTGACCTCTCACAAAGCCAACCATGTTTCTCTCAAATTACACAACATTCAGTTTGCACCAGGTAACAGGCATAAATAAGGGCAAAGTAGACAACAAGGTCAATTTAAGGTCATGATTTTGTTCAGTGAATAATGCAATGATTAAAAGTCAAATTTTTCATTGTACCATTGTTTTTAGACTTGATTACATAATTCAAAAAACTATATAAAAAAAAAATTGTCGTTCCAAATATATATACAGTATATAAGTTTGTAATGTTGTGATTCACCTTGAAACTAGTTGGTTGGGTTTGTATCTTATAACTGAATTTTTTGCCCGAAGATAAATGGAGAAAATGAATGGCTAAAATAATTCCTGATCCGAAGCCACGGAAAATGCGGGCGTTGCGCTCTACTGTCGTCACGTTTATGGCTTTTTTTACAATTGTGAATTTCATCATTGAGTACAAAGATTCAGCTTTAGACTTTAAGATCACCTGGCATTTCCAGAAAGTAAAACTGTCGATGTAAAAGCCATATGATATGGAAACGTCCATGATCTTTGGTGTGCTGGGTGATCTACACGGCACGTTTTGTTTCCAGTGGAATCCCTGCAATTTAAATGGACAGTTTGGCTGGGATGAAAAACGTCAGATTGTACAACACAGAGAAAATTTACAGGCAAAATGCTACAGCATTGGTACCGCATTTTAATTAAATGAGACATATTTCCAAGAATACGAAAAAAAAAAAAAATCATGAAAATTTGTCATATAGAGATAGGTGAATATATATGGAAGCCCAAAAATAATGCTTTGGTAAATCATAATTATGAGATTATGATAATTTTTAATCTCATAATGACTGGTATCTCATAAATACGGACCCCCTAAAGGTACACGGTGATTGAAAAAATATGAGATGGGAGGGGAAAAAAAATATTTCAATCCCTGAGAAAATTAGTTTGCTCTCAAAATGTTCGCGTTCTTTGCGAGAGAACGCAAAGCATTGACATATTTTTTCCATCACCATGTCCCTTTAAGGGCTCCGTACTTAATGCCATTACTCAATTGCATTATTATGGCTTTTTATGTCAATTTAAGTCATAATTATGACCTTTTACAGTATGTCTGAATTATGATTGACCAAAGCATGATGTTTTTCTTATGTGGTGGAAATAAGCTTCCATAATGATCAGAGGGTAAAGGTTGAAACAATTAAAAAAAAAAGCTTGGTAATGTGAGCCTAGATCGAGGCAAACACGTCACACGATAAGAGCGGGAATGTTTCCTTTAAAATGAATTGTAAAAGCGACGTGTACGAGCTGTACACAACAAGTCAAACGTGGCAAAGCCGCTGACGTTCTTGTTCTCTTGTTGAAGGCCTGGCATCTTGATTTGTACATTCAGTTGTGAGGAGAGCTGATAGTCCAGAACGAGCATCAGGTTCTAGATCAGGTGGAGGTTCCACTGATC